AGATAAATCCGTCCTTATGGTTGAAACTGCGCGCATGTGAGGTGACAGGCTCTGACACCGAGAAGGAGGTATAATGGCTCTTTTTCAACCTTGCCTCCATGGCACTCTCATCCAAACGTGATCCGAGCCGCGTCCCTTTGTTGTTTTTTAAAAACCCTATTCATGGCGGGGTCATGCGTGGCACGCGTAGATGAACTGACTAGCTTCACCAGCCACTGCGTCTGAGTCCGCGTCCGGTTGCCCAGACTATCAAGCCACCGAGCCCAGGTAGATGAGAGTGGAGAGGGTGCAGCAGATGTTGCCTAAGCGTGCTATAGTTATAAGACAAGTCATTGTCCATGTCGCGACGGCCGAACAGACTACCTAGGTGGTTACTAAGTCCAAACAAGCCCAGTGGCGACTGCTCACGGCTGGAGACAAAACATGTGGCCTTTGTTCCCTTTCAGCATGCGTACAGTTTCCTATCTCCATCAAATCTGGACATTTGACTTAAATGGGCCGAGCTCTGGCGTTTTAGCTCAACTACAAGTTTGCGACGGTAAATAAGCTTCTTGTGAGGCTTTGAGCGGTCCCAGGATTAGGAGAACCTCCAAATGAATTAGCCAAATAGTAAGAGTACTGGAAACGGCATTCGTCACAGTAGCGGTATTTGTGGTGGAATCAGCAAGAGTAGTAGTGCTAGTAGTAGTAGTAGTGGTAGCAGTAATAGTAGTATAATTCTCCCCTCGCCTTCTCTTCTATGAAGCAATCAGGGACCCCACTCCGAGTATCTTACAGAGGGCACAGGGACTAATATCCATCAGTCCTTTGAACAGTTTAAAATATCCACTCACCTGTGATGTAATATTGCAGAATAGGAATGATCTCCTCAGTTCTCAAGGCTCCGCTCTCGACAACATGTGTGGCAAATTCGTGAGCAAGAATGGTTGGGAATCGAATAAGGGCGAAGTTATGATTTCCGAGGGCAATCCTCTGATTCATTGCAGTGACCGGTATCTTCAAACGGTCACACTCATTCTCCGCCCAATGCATCACCTGGTCGAAGATTTCGATTTCACGTGCGTTAAGTACGTCCTGCTCGAGAATCATGACTACCAGTTCCTTCTTTATGTCCTTAAACTCCTCCTTCTTTATCACCTCAAAGGTGTCATTGATGATTAGGCGCATGCAGAGGTCCTTCAGACGGTCCTCATGGAAGTCCACTGCAGCCTGAAGCAACCGGAAGATATGCTCGATGCAAACATTGTTCTCCAAGTAATTTACGCAAGCCCTGGCCAGGTCATAAAAGCAGTACTTTCTAGCCGCGTAGAGAGTTCGGATGGTACCGACAACGCCAGTGAAAGTCATCTCGTCATAGTAAATGTACCTTGAGAGGGAAATAATTGTTTTTTTTAATATAGTCCACCCCCAGGCCTTCATTTCAGGTATTACATATGTTAACATAAATATTACCTCGAAAAATTAATTTGTCAGAGTCGAATTTTAATGAGTCCCCACTTGACTTAAGAGTATGCGGGTGTTGGGTATGTACGAGATTTTTCTAGCTACCTGATGTCATGGCAACATGGGTGTTTTTCAGAAAGCTCTATTTGGCATCTAGACAGACAACTGAATTTTGGAAACGCAGTGTTTCCTGATGAAAAGATTACTAAAACCCTATTTCGACTGGGGCACTGCGGTAGTCAATATGCTTGTCTGAAAGACCATGAAAGAGACCTCTTTTATCCCATTCTTGAAAACTAAATAACTGAGTTTATCGCTTTTAGAAAAAACAAGGCGATAGCTTAAGAGGATGCTTCAGCAATCTTCAAAAATCTTGCCGCTCACGAGGGCGTTCGTTTAGAAACTCCATGAACACTTGTGCCAACTCTTTCGGAAACAGCGAAAACCTTCAAAAGTGAGTCATCTAATCGAGGCGTGCGGGTTTTTAAGTCTACTCCTCCATAAAAGAGCCTGTTGTTGTTGTTGCTGAGAAAAAGGGTCTTTCAGCGCTCTTTTCTTTAGCCTAAATTTTAGATTCATAAAATAAGGACGTCGGCAAACATTGCGTGAGGCGACCTCCGGCGAATTAATATTCCCCCAAATTTTTGCATCAGCTAGACCCGGGATGGGTGGTCTGGCGTTTCGAACAATAGGAAGCCTTTCAGACTAAACACCACGAACGGGAAGTGGACCGTAAAAACGCATTCGCTAACATAACTATATAAATAGTACGGAATTTTTCTATTGATTTTCGACGCTCCTATAAATTCGAACCCGTAAATATCTTCCCCTGCACTCATTGTATGGTATTTTGCGTCTTCTTAGAGCCGCTTACTCAAAAAACAATATCTTTATATTTTTTAATATTTTCAATCCCTAAATGATTTCAAACCTGACCTTTTGTTAGGTCTTTCAAAAAGCAAACTTTCCGCTTTAAAAAATAATGCATTCCGTTATGCTATTGGGAAGGAACGACGTAGGGTCCCAAAAATTTCGCAATGGATGTGGGCCATGTTGTGCCTTTCATGAGCAGTTTTACTAAGCGAACTGACAAGATACAATGTGAATAGACTTTTTCCGATATACAAAAGTGCCATAATCGAAAAATGATTGAAGCCAAAAGTTCTCCTTTCCTCGAGTGAAGAATTTGAAGATGGTGCAAGTTACTGAAAAATAAGTGTATGAAGGTTCATTTTGCATACCTTTCCCATAAAACATGCTTGGAGCTGTAAGGTTGTCAAAAATCAAAAAAATGTTCCATACTGCTTAAGTAGCAATTTCAGTAGGTACAATTTGTGTTGGAAAGCGTAAAAACGCGTATTTAAAGGCCGGCATCCTTGCGTGCCTGAAATATCTGTAGATTATGCTACATGCTAATTAACATTTAAAACCCACCTGAAAAACCCTGTCTAGTTTCAGACAACATTCTCCGAGACACGTCACCTGTTATGCACTGCAGTTTTCACCACCGTCAGGATAACTTGGACAAATTTTTCGACTTCAGAAGCAAACAAGCAAGAAGGAATTTGTTTTAGGCTATATATTCGAGTCCCATCCACTTGATGCTCTAGCCCAACCCATTTGGAGTGAATCAGGCCTCATCCAAAAGGCTTTCTTACGTCACTTAAGCATTCATTTTCGTTAAAGAAATATTGTTTGTCAATGCCGGCTACTCATCACCTTCACTAATAATAAATCTGATACGCTTAAATCCATCACGACGCGTCGCGAGTCGTGGTACAAAAGGTTGCCCACTGACTGCAGATATCAGTTCGCGTGGTTGATACTCTATGTGTCTGTGAGATGACTGGCCAGCGGACTGGCAACCAGGCTCCGTGACTCTTTAATGTGGCCCCTATGGCATTCTCATGTATAGAAGTGAACAGGCAAATCCCAGGAAGTAGTTCAGACGATGCGATCACTGAAAAAAAAAAGAAGTTTCTTGGCCCAACATTTGGGATTCTCACTCGAACCCCATCATCACAGCCAGTTACAAGTAAGGGTAGCGGATGCACAAAGACCGCGGTATTTATAGTACGTAGCCCTCGTGGGACCACATGCGTAATCTAATTAACAGCTCTCGTGATTACCGCTGGGAGTCGTAATTTAATGCGATAATGCCTCGTCAGTCCGCGCCCGAGTCGCCAATTGCCGCAATTTAATTATCCGCGTTCCACCAAATTCAGTAAGTCAGCAGAGCAACCACGTTGGGGAAACTGGGAGATCACCCCAGACGCGAATGCCGAGCACGCAGCAACAGTGAGATGGAGAACCATTAGCTCTCAGATGCAGGCTAATTCTACGGAATCCGGCTATATTTCCCAGTTTCAAGAGCCCGAAATCCTTGCAAAAGGTGATAACCACGTGAGCCGCAAGCTGCTCGAATCATGGTTCTCAGGCCCAAAATCCATCGACAAGCGCAATGACCTCCTGTTACCGTATTCTGTGTCCAGATTTTCCCTGGGCAGGGGATGGCGCAGGCGAGCAACAATCCCAGTTACAGAGGGCCAAACTGCCGAGTAATCCTCGCGCCAACATCCATCACGGATGGTGCAATTGCGACAATTAAGGACTCGCACGCTGACTGACGAGTCATCATCACAATGAAGTGCGAACCCCAGCAGCAATTGCAAGTGCTGTCAATTATGGTACGCATGTGGACCCACGGCGTCTTCGTGCTACAGGTAGTGCGCTCCTTGTGTCTCCATTGCTCCTATCTGCGACTGTCTCTGATGACGAGTTCGAGTGAGAATCCCAAACGTCAGACTAATCAACTTCTTGGGCCAGTGATCACATCTTCCCCTAAACTCTAATATATGTGAGATCTAAGCCGATCACTACATTGCAGATCAGGTACCTCTCGCGCAAGCGGAAAGTATGCTGTTTGGTGTGTCACAATGCATGACCTGGTAATGAGGTCGTGCGTGAAACATGTAGACGGGTCGCCTTGGCCCAATAATTCACTGCGCCCTGTCCTATCACCAGCTGAGTTACAGGCTTGGAAAGTCGTCTGGTACATGAGACAGAGAAGGGAGAGCGACGCCGACTCCGGAGAGTACATCCCTATGGCACCTAAGCGCATTCCTGGTGACGCGTTAAGATCTGTGAGTTGGGAGTTTGTTAACGGACGCCATAATTCGATTTGCACGGTCAGAATTGTGCGCATGTGGAGTGACTGGCTCGAGTACCGCGACCCAAACCCGCTGGCTCCGTTTTGATGTTACCTTTATGACATACGTCATTCCTCGGAAAACCCAAACCCCAGTGCGATGAACGGGCTGTGTGTGGCACGTGTAGATGGATCGGTTAACTTTGTCAAACACTGTCCCCCGGGCTCATCTTCAGTTGTCCCGGCTTCGTCTTGACACTCGACACAGATGGGTGAAGGAGGAGTGAATAAGGTAGGTGCTGCTAATGTCTGCCTCACAATGGACTAATTCACGCGTAAGTCATCATTACTGCGTCCAACACTTCGTGGGGCACATGGTAGACATCATCGTTCGCGATGGTCGAACTGTCGCCTGATGTCCATATTTACTCAGTCGCAGATGAAGAAGAGATTTATCAGAAACCGACCACGGTCGTCAATTGGAAAGCATTTTAAAAGAGATAAGTAAAGGAAGCGCTTGACGGAAAGCGTGTATTAGGCGTAAATGCACACAGGCGGAGGATCTGCAGACGACCAAGTAACCGCAGGAGATATCGGACAGCCATTGGCTCAACGAGCTGACTCTTCAGCGGCTGATTATGGACTAAACAAATAATGGGTCTCAGAGGAGCAGGAGAACTTTCTTTCACCCACGATAGTATGCCTGATTGGGAGCCTTACTTGTGCAAGTTGATTGGCAATTCCCGACTTCCCTCCCAAGGGAGAGATTCATAGATTCGCATCCTCCCCGTCTTCGCGCCGCAAGAAACGGTTGCTATGCAGACCACAGTACTGACAACAGAAAAGAAGTCCGTTACGGTGGGACGGAGCGCACTCATCCAGTCTTTCTCGCTTATAGCTAAACGGAAACGCCTGAGCAAGTCTCATACAAGCCGGACTCACTGAACTCCGGTTGGTCGTTCTTTTTTTGTCCTTGTGATGTAGGATGACCTTCTGGTCGGGAGAAGGTCGAGTGGGTGTACCAATAGGCTGCTGCCAAACATGCAGGTCTCACTTGTTTCTCGCCGACTGTTTTGTTTCTCACTATTCCAATTACCTAGGCCCCGGCAAGATGCCCGTACCGAAGGCTGGACCCGCCTCTAGAAGTTACCGGAGGGCACAAAACTCGTGTCAAAGCCAGCCGACTTTGTCTCCAGATCCCGGCTTCACGCGACGCCCCCCCGCATGTTAATGAGTCAGCTGTCGCACACACGCACGTCAGCGATCATCAACCGCGTTCATGCCCGGTCATCAGTTTTGAATGGACCGCCATCGAACAGAGGCTGGTAGCAGAGCGAATTGGTGTTTTCGCAGATTGCCATGCGCAGCCTTGAGCATGACCATCAGTGCGCCATAAATACAACGCAGTGAGCAGCACTTGTCAACTAAACTGGGAACTAATCGCGGCGGCAGTATCTGGCGTTAATTCAGTAGTCCACCCAGTCATCATACCTCACCACTGTTGGTCAAAGCCGTCAGGCACCGACTTGACAATAACAAACGACCAACTCGATGTCAGCAGTAGAGGTGTCCCCATTTGTTTTAACGCTGTGAAAGGCAACAGCCTAAGTACTCATTATGTGAATCTGCTGTTTGCCCCAGAGTTATATTTATACTTTATTTAATGTACCTATTCTCCCTCGATGTTAGCAAGCGCGGCGTCGGGACTAAGAGCATGAACTCGAAGAGCAAATACAAAAACAAGAAGGCCAAAAAATAATACCGGTAGTAGTAATAATGCAAGTAAAAAGGGGGCGACTTCGCGATCGTGATGTATTTCTGCCGAGGCTTTATAAATTTTGTACTTCCTGACATACTACTATGATATCTGATATTAAGCATCTTACGTTTTGCTTTTTCCCCCTTATTTTCCTCTGTCTTCGCTATTCAAGCAAGATGGCATAGACTGTCATCTGACTCTTGATTCCCATTTCGTCAAATCGGAAGAGATTGGAAAAGATGCCACTTTCATCTTACCCGCCTCCAGACTTACAAGATACCTCAACTTTCACAATGGCAGCTATGGTGAAAATGACGAATCCCCACGGAAGTCTGGGACGTACAGGGATTGATGAAGATAATCAAGATGATCATTTTACGCTCTGACAATGGAGAGTCGACTCAGCTCTTTGAAACGTCAGCATTTAAAGTGCCCTGTTCCGGAGAGCCTATCTTCTTCTTCAAATAATCAACCCGGGCAAATAAAATCGTTTAGACACGGAAATAAAGCCCCCGCCCACTCCGGATTACAGGTGCTCTTTAGCCAAACTCCAGAGGGATTAGGGTTTAGGTGAAGATTAGGGTTAAGGGGGTTGCGGTCAAAGATAGCACAGGCGAAAAAATATAAATTGGAAGTAAGCAGAAGGTCGCCTGTTGCACGAGAGGTTCTTATGCCCGTGCCCACTGCTAAAACGTTTTTGTTTCACTTATTCGCCTAACCTGTCCAGAAGTGTTCTTTTCTCGCGCAGACTGTGTTACTATGAAATTTTATTTGGAAAAAATTTGCAAGTTTGGACTAATATTAAACGCCTATTTACATTTAGGCAGTCTTCTATGTTAAAACTATTCTATATCACATTTGTGTGTGTGTCAGTACTTGTTTTTTTCTATTGGGGAAGTTTTATCCGATCAACTTTCTACCGCTTTGATGTTTTCATTTAGGTAAAGGTCTTCATTATTAATTTGACGATTTAGTGGATGCAGTTGTGTACGTTTGCGATTGTTCCAAGATTTTCGTTAGTTTAGATATAGTAGTTGAGTTTCGCCACCTAGTGGATATTGGGAGCCGGGAAATTCAGTTGAATATTTTATCTCTACAGTACTTAATATCCAGGTAGGTAAGCTTCCCAAACAACGAAAGGGCGGTTTGTTCTTAGTCCTCCTTTGTGTCTCTAATAGAAAGGAAGAGGTCTTTTATGTGTTCCTCTACTCGCAGAGCCAGCTTATTTCTGCCTATTACAAGCAACTTTATTGGTCAATTGGGCTTTTATCCACCGTGTTGCTCATAAAGGCTGTCGATAGTTTGATAGACAGCGCGACATTGTAAGGCTTGTAGACTGTCCCGCCTCAACAAAACCATAGGAATTGTGAAGGGATTTTCAGGCAGTGTCGCGCCGACTGAGATCCCTGCCGTCCTTCCATTTTTCGTTGTTGGTTGAAATCCTCCTCAGGTGTTCGATGTGGACCAGAGGGTGTGGTGGTACGCCTAGATGCGGGTCTTGCCGTGCCAGTCACTTGCGCCCTCCCCACCTCTGTCTTGAAACATCTAAACGATGCGCAACAGGTCACAGCTCTCAGGGAGTTCTGCAGGCACTACAAGCGGTCAAACGTGTCTCTCCGCTGCTCTTTTCAATTAACTCGGTAATTAGTGCGTAAACGTGGTGTAACTCCTTTGAACCAAAGCTTTTCAGATCTGATCTGAGGAAGTTAAAAAGGGCAGCATTGAACGTGGAGCTTGCATGCCAGAAAGCGCTTGAGGAATGCTGGGGAATCCACTAATTAGCTGCACTTTCGCCGCTGCCCCCTGAAACGCCACAAGACCGGCGAGACACGCGTGCAGGGGGGGGGGGGGCTTTTGGCTAGTGCCTGTGCCGTCCCTATAGTAAATTATTCAGGCCTCTTCCCCCACCCCCCAGATGAGAACTCGGGCGTTTATGTCGCCAGTTCGACCAGTTTTGACTGGGTCCCCGCATGCTTCAAATATCCAATGTCACGTTGCAATGTTGGTTTTCTGATAATTGTGTCCTTTGTTTGCGGGGACACTAGTGCAATCTTCGAATCGCACGCTCCAGGACGTCTGTTTATCACAATTTGCAGAGATATGCTAGAGTTGTTCCTAAATAGATCGCGATTCTTCGCTAAAGAGACCCAAGTCTCGGCCGACACCATTAAAGCTAGAGTCCCAAACTTGGCGTAGTCCTTAGGGACCTTTTAGTGGACGCGCGATAGACGCTAGCCCTAAATGCCAGTGCTACTGAGGACGAAGGGAATACAGTAGATGTGCTAACTCATGAAATGTAAACCGAAATTCGGAAATATGTTTTCGGCTCGAAAGGATTATTTAAGTAGGGTTGTAATATTAATCACCGTGCAGCATAATTCCAAGACAATTCAGTTACTTCGGGATTATGGCTTTGAACGAACTTCGTTTCGGCCGCCTGCAAAACCTACATTCTGTAAAAAGTGATTACTTAAGTAGTATGTATTTTCTAATTTATTTTCGATGTCCTGATAAATTCAATTATATTTCACAGAAAACATGTATAAAAATATTCATTTTTTATTCATTTGGTAGAAAATTACGTCTTATTGAAATTTTATGCTTTGAAAGAGGTGTAATTCGATTACAAAAGGTTTGTAATTATCAGATTATTTAAGGCCGTAAGATGCCCGTCCATAAAGCGTCGTGTCCCTGTGTTTACTAATTTTGCTCGTAATCTTTACAATATGGCTCAGTCCCATTGCTAAATTTCATGAACCCCATATAGTCTCATCCTAACACCCTATAGAAGTGTATGGTTTTCCGTACACGGATAATATACAACTAGTAGTTTTGAAACGCTGACTGCAAATGTAACGGTAGGTCGGTCTCAGAAATACTCGGGAATTAGACAAGTTTTTAAGGCCTAATTATACCGTTCCTTCAAGTATAGAATCCGAAGAAGACGTTATTTTCTACCAAGTGAGTAAAAGAATGAATATTTTTATACATGTTTCCTATGAGATATATTTGAATGTGTAAGGGCATCAAAAATCAACGAGAAAATCCATACTATTTAAGTAGTCATTCTTTGCAGAGCTTGGTTCTTGCAGGCGGCTTGAAAGAGGTTCGTCCGAAAGCTCGCACCCTGAAGTAACTGAGCTATCTTGGGATTATGCTCTGCGGTAATTTATATCCCAGCCATACTTAAGTAATCTTTTTGAGTCGAAAACGTATTTTATAAGTTCGGTTAACATTTCCTGAGTTAGCACGTCTACTGTAGATGAAAATGTTATCTTCAGTGGCCTTGAGACGGTGTTGGGACCTGAAATTCCGACTTCGCTTCGGAGAGACGAGTGTGAACTGTATTTGGGGAGAGAACTTAGGTAGTACTGCCTCTCATTACGTTCTGAATAGAGCTGACGAGGGTGCCTCAACTTCTCTCACCCACGCGTATCGGAGGAATGTCGATCACTGGCAAGTAGGATCAGTTTGGAGGACAATGGTCTGTAGTTACAACCACCTGTATGCTAAATGACCTTTTACTCTTTTTCAAATAGAAGACAGCATTATCCAAACTATGGAAGAAGAGTTATATACCGACCGTCATACGGGCGTTATTGCAAGTTGGGTCTTGCTGTCTCATCTTTTGTATAAGGTATGACAAGACTTGGACTTGGATTCCAGATTTAACTAAAGTGCAGTCACTAGTTTCAATGTTCCAGACATCCAAGGGGAATTTTATAAGTTTTTTGAAGGCAAAAGCTTACGATGCACTTATAGTTAAGTGCCTACCTGAGGAGTCGGAAAAACCCAAGCGGGTGGACATCCTGTACGCGAATGGTGTCCGCTCCAATGACTTCGTCTTTAAAGAAGGTAATATCCAAAGCGGGCATTTCGGGTGCGGCTCCGCCCTTTGGACTCTTCTTCGAGCTGCCTTTGGATTTTCCAGGCGACTTGCCCTTTCCTTTGGAGCCCTTCTCCTTGGGGGAGCCGGATTTGCCCTTGGGTGAGCCCTTCTTCGGAGAACCACTCTTGCTCCCCTTTCCTTTCCCCTTCCCCTTGGACTTGGGGCTGCCCTTCTTGTCTCCCCCTCTAGCAGCTGCTTCCTGTGCCAACGCGGCCTCCATCTGGGCGTCGGCTTCGCGCGCCGCTTGGGCTTCCGCCTCTCGTTTTCTCACCTGTTCGTCCTTCCAGGCATCGCAGTCCGCGAAGAGCTTCTCGAAGATAGGGCTTTCAGCAGCCAGCATGCACTTATGGGCCTTTATGGTGGTTTCGTTGCCAGTTGGACCGACGATAAAGTCAACATCAGTTTTAAGTGTAGTTTCCAACAGAAACCGGAGCCGTCTATGCATAATGCCCTCCGGTACGGGGACGACCAACTCCTCCTCTTCAACTGGCTCGACGGCATTTCCTTTGGAACCCTTAGAGCCCTTTGAGCCTTTGGAGCCCTTTTTGTCCTTTGAGCCTTTGCTCTTCTTGGACGGCATGGTGCCTTCTCCGGATCAGTTAAACACCAGTCCTGGTGTTTGGCGTTGTCACTGTTTCGGCAGCACGCGAAGGCGCGCTCGTTTTGAACGTCCAGGGAAATCGATTATGTTGGCGCACAAACCCAGCAGTTGACAGAGGACAGCATGTGCGTTGTAAACGTGCGCGATCACGGACTTCTCATGAATGCTGCTATTATTTTACTATGATAGCCAAAGCCTGTTGTCGGTTTTATCAAATTATCCAGAGACTGCAAAGGGAAAATCCGGCAAACGAATTTTGAAAAGTGACTTCTTAGGTTAAAATGGTTACGTCAGCAACTTCCTCTCCTTTCTATCGCATTTGCTGCTGATCGTCCACAGGGAACAATGCGCTGTCTTGCAGGCAAAAGATGCAAAGATTGTTTTTTTCAAACTTGCATCTGACTTACTAAAACAGATCGGCCGATCTGATTCAAGCGCCAAGGAGCGCTGGCGCTGATTCAAGAAAAGGGTAACTATTTGACCAATATTTTAAAGGTTCAGCTTCTTACAGTCTATGCATTAGTCACAGCAACCTCTTTTTGCTCATGCATGGCAAGCTTGCGCTGAAATTACTTTTTTTTGACAAATTATGGTGTTTCCCCAATCCGCCTTTCCTAAAGAGAACTGAAAACTTTACAGGGTAAGGTACAACTGCGTACTTTTTGTAAAACAGAGGATGTTGTGTTTGTAGAGTTTAAGCTCATCATTGCCAAATTCTTATACAGTTTGTGATATTCCGATGCCAGTCAATCATCGGCTTCCATCTGAGTAACGAAATTTGTCCTGAATGTTTATCCGCGTCAAGACACCTTCATTAGAACGACGTGTTTGAAAGTTTTTCAAGTTAAATGGGAACGAAATTGTCCTATGCAAAGTAAGGAAAGATCTTTTGATATTCCCACTTTTCATCTTGCCTTCCAAAATTTTTTGTGCATTCTGTCAGAATTCGGTCTTCTGACCCTGTCATTGCACTTCATTTTCTCAGCCTCTTTGTCCAAAATAGGTCTTTTTGCATCTAACGTCCCAAATAATCGCATCCCTCCCCCAAACAGGCGAACTAAATGTTTGTTTTTCGTTCTAACTTTCAGCACCCAATCTCGTCCTCACAAGGAATCGCGCTGAATATGCACTGAACCAGAACGGAGGCACGACTGGCGTTAACCAGGCTGCCCAGAGTCCACTTGGGTGGTTTTGGTGGCACGCCTATGCGCAGACTCCAGGCTGCGCCGGCCAATTGCACCCAATTCCAGAATCGGATGGCTGACCAGCCCGGAGAGTGGGCTGGCGCTTGGGAGAGGGAAGAGAGAATGAGGTCGACTCCGAGGACTGTGTCCCCATGGCACTTCAGCGCATTTCCTCCTGACGCGCTAAAAGTCGTGGTTTGGAAGGTTGCTAACTGGCGGGATAACTCGTTCCTCCGGGGGAGAGAGAGTCAGGTTCAGCGGCTCTTTCTGGATGTGGTCCCTGTGCCACTCCCATGCAGATGGGATCCAAAAGGCCCCTTTAGTTTATGAAATCGTGGTAAATTTTGTGCGGACTAGGTCATGCGTGGTCCGCGTAGGTGAACCGTTTAGTCTCGTCCGCCATTGCACCCGATGCCGCCTCCAGTATTTCTGACTCTGCCTTGCCGCAGGGTGCACGTGGGGGCGGGAGGACAAAGTGCAGCAGATGCTGCGCAGGTCGCCATTCTAAGTTCACTGAACTGTGGGACACATGGTGGACATCGTCGTTCGCGACGGTCAAATGTACAGTGCGTGTCCGATCTAATGAAATGTTGGCCGAAATTCTGAATGCGTCTTCGATTAGGAAGGGTAACTTAGGTGGGGTTTTAGTATTTATTAGCATACAGCGTAACCCTATAACATTTCGGACTTACCAGGATGTCGGCTTTTGAATGCATTCATTTTTTACCTCCTGCAGAAACCGCATTCGGTGATAAATGACTACATATGTAGCATGCATTTTTCCTATTGATTTCCGATGGTCTTGTAAATTCAAATGTATTCTAAAGAAATCATGCACAAAAATATGCTTTCTTTTACTCCTTTTGTAGAAAATCACATTGTCTTGATATTTTATACCCGAAGAAAGTGTATTTGGATTTTAAAAAAAGTTTCTTATTATAAGATTTTTAAGACCGTGTAATGTCTATTCATACAGGACCGCACATATCCGTCTACCAATACTCCCAATGAAATGCGCAACACAGTCCGGATCCATTGCGGAATTTTAGGGACTTTTTGTGATACCTTCTTAAAGGCATAGAGGAATGTATTGTTTTCCTTACGCGGGAAGCATGCACCTTGTAGACTGAAATCGCCAAACGCTAATGCAATGGCACATTATGCACAAAATTATTCGGGAATTGGGAAACTTCTTTTCAAACTTAAATATACACTTTCTTTGGATGTAAAATATCAAGACAATGTGATTTTGTGCGAAAGGAGTAAATGAAAGCATATTTTGTGCATGTTTTCTTTAGAATGTATTTGAATGTACGAGACCATCGAAAATCAATAGGGAAAATGCATGCTACGTAAGTAGTCATTTATCACCGAATGCGGTTTCTGCAGGAGGTAAAAAATGAATGCATTCAAAAGCCGACATCCTGGTAAGTCCGAAATGTTATAGGGTTACGCTGCATGCCCATAAATACTAAAACCCCACCTAAGTTACCCTTCAAAATCGAAGACGCATTTCAGAATTTCGGCCAACATTTCATGAGATCGGTCACGCACTGTAAATTTCCAATTCCCAAGAAACCTCGGCGAGATGGAATAAACAGTCACCTAAATTCTCCCCTGACTTTTTATCCTGCCTTGGCATTTGTAATCCTTCATTAATTATTAGATACATTCAGCAGATTTGAATAATTCACTTGACCCAGTCGTGAAGAACTCGTCGTTGCCGTAGCCTGGACGGGTAACTTGACCTCAATGGGAATTGCACTCACGGCTCCCAGTGGGCCCTCGTAACTCAGGCGGGTTTGGGCGTTGGTAGCACTCAGGCCTTGTCCCTGCTGTCGGGGGTTCGACTTTCACTGAGGCTGCCGAGTTTTTCACAATTGGGGACTCCATAGCAAAACAGAACGTTCATATTCCCTTCTGTTTTGAGGCTGCGTTAGCGAACGCGCCCCTCACGGTAGAAAATTACGTCTTTCCTAAACTTCATACTTGAGGGGTGGGTATAATTCGACTTTCAGGGTTCTCAAACTTCAAGCTGGATATTTTCCGTGTACGAAAAATCATACACTTCTGTACACTATTAAGCGGTAGATCTGGGCCATATTGTACACTTTATAAATAACACTTGTAAATTCAGAGACACAGTGCTATATGAACGGACATTTTGCGGTCTTAAAAATCTCACAATTATAAACTTTTTTAAAACCGAATCATACCCTCCCCTCAAGTATCACATTCAAGGAAGACCTACTTTTCTATCAAATCGGTCAAAGAATGAATATTTCCATATGTATTTTCTGTGAAATATATTTGGATACATAAGTACGCTGAAAATCAGCGAGAGAAATTCATACTACTTAATTAGTCATCTTTCATAGGAAGTAATTTTTGCAGGCGACCGGAAAGAAGTTCCTTCAAAAACTGGCCTCCGGAAGCAACTGAATTATTTTAGAACTATGCTGCAACGTGATTAACGTTACAACCCTACTTAAGCAATCTTCTCAAGTCGAAAACGCATTTCAGAATTTCGATTGACATTTCATGAGTTAGCACACCTCCTGTAGTTGCAAGAACAGATGACGGGGAGTTATATCCACGCACCAACTATCGGAAATTGAGATATGGCTGGCCGCAAATGGTAAATAAGTCAAAAATTAGTCCCTTTTTTCCTCCCCGCTAATAATTCTCTAGCACCGAGTACCGCTATTTATGAAGCAGTCTGGAAAAGTCGCCAGCCGGAGATGACGTACCAAACGGAAGGCCTCTCTTCCGTTTTTAGCTAAATTATGTCGATCATCAACATTCTTGCGAGGCTTTAAGATAGTTACTTTAGCCCAGAATACACTTCAGTCTTTTCATATTTATTTGTTTGAACGGCACGTTTGCAGTAGTATAGTGCGATGTCAATGTGAAGGATGGGAATCTCCTGCAGCGTATGATTTTATTCGATTATATAAAGACCGGTGGACAGAAAGATTCTGATTTTATTTTTTCCGGCGTGTCGTTTGATTTTTCGCGCTCCTCCGAACTGACGGTTCCGAAATTTATGAGCACGTTCATGACTCCTAGCAAAACGCAACCTTTCAAAACGTGACCGCCTACCAGGGCTTCAGAGCAGAAAAACGAGCATGTTTCATTCTGCAATCACATAAGTAGGCTGCTTCTTCCAGTGTGATATCTTTGTAACGGCGATTTTTTGCATACTCCTGATGACATTCAGGTGAGAATTATTTTCTGAAATGAACTTCAGTGTTGATTAACATGGATTCAATCACTGATCGTTCAAGAGACAACTAAGTGTATCATAGGCACTTAAAAACGATGAAGTAACTTACTATCTGCACTAGGGGACTTTGCTCTAACCGACGGCTATTCCCTCCCTGCTTGAGAATGACTGCCTATTTAAGATTCATTTTTGAACATTTTTGGGAAAGTTGGGTTTCTTTCATTACCCCAACCGGGTCAGAACTGGATCACTAGTAATACTTCATGTTCTTCCAACCTCGCAAATTAGAAATTCCTTTAAACTTCTCGTCTCATTTTGGAGAAATCCCATCCACTAGTGACCTCCTACGCCGTCAGCATTTGTTTGTCCAAAACAAACGGTCGCATGCAGTACAAATCGTGAAGCAAGACGCCGACACTTAAAGTCGCCATCAGAAGAAATGCGTTGAGAAGAAGCTGTCTTTTCGCAAATACACTACTAACAAAAGGTGTCTGTTTGAAACTGGGTGTTTGCACTCGTCCCCTTATCCCACCCTCTGGGTTCAAACTACGCTTTTGGGGTGAGTTGAG